TGATTCGACCGTCCACAACCACTCGTCATGCCTTCAACATACGTAGAACGATCGAAAGATATCATCAAGTGTGTTGATACCACTCGAATGACTTAGAAAGAGCAAACGAAAATACTTTCTATCGGAATAGTTCGAAGGTGTTATACAATCATGAGAACAAAAATGTTCCCATAGTTTCTTTTGAGAGAGATCGAACCACTTGATTATCTATTTTTATCATCCTACACATACCAGATGCACGATTGGTGGTCGTGGACAGTGGAATCGTTATTTTTAGCATAGACAATATAATTGTCGTTTTATTTTAATTGAAACGATATATATGTAGTTTTAGTTATGATTTAAACTAAAACGATATGAACGTCATCAAACTTGTGTTGAAACAATAATGATGTCGTTATGTATCAAACTCACAAATAAAGTAACGACATTCATATCATTTTAGTACAAATTTGACGAATTTGAAATCATTCCAATTCAATTAATGACTATAACGACATAAATATCATTTCTTTTATATAAAACGTTAATTATATTGTTTTGACTGAAAATAACAATTTGACCATTCACAACCACTCAACATGTCTTTAACATACCTTGAACGATTGAAAGAAGTCATCAAATAGGTTGATGACATTCAAATGGTTTAGAAAGAACGAACGAAAATACTTCTTTTTGTCGAAATAGTTCGAATGTTGTATACAATTGTGGGAACCGAAATATTCCCATAGTTTCTTTTGAGTGAGATCAAACCCACTTGATTATCTATTTTGAGCATCCTACATATGTGATGCATGTCTAGTAGTTGTGACGGTCGAATCATTGTTTTTAATAGAAACGATATAATTGTCATTTTATTTTAACTGCAACGATATGTATGTAGTTTTAGTTATAATTTAAGTTAAAACGATATCAACGTCGTCAAACTTGTATTGAAATGATAATGATGTTGTTATGTATCAAACTCACAAATAAAGTAACGACATTCATATCGTTTTAGTACAAATTTGACGAGTTTGAAATCGTTTCAGTTCAAATAATGACATAGATATCGCTTTTTTCATATAAAATGTTAATTATATCGTTTTGACTGAAAATAACGATTCGACCGTCCACAACCACTCAACACGTCTTTAACATACCTAAGACGATCGAAAGAAGTCATCAAGTGGGTTGATGACATTCAAATGGTTTAGAAAGAATGAACGAAGATACTTCTTTCTGTTGAAATAGTTGGAATGTTGTATACAATTGTGAGAACGAAAATATTCCCATAGTTTCTTTTGAGTGAGATCAAACCTACTTGATTATCTATTTTGAGCATCCTACATATGTCAGATGCACGTCTGGTGGTTGTGGACGGTCGAATCATTGTTTTTAGCAGAAACGATATAAATGTCGTTTTATTTTAACTGCGACGATATATATGTAGTTTTAGTTATGATTTAAGCTAAAACGATATCAAAGTCGTCAAACTTGTATTGGAACGATAATGATGTCGTTATGTATCAAACTCACAAATAAAATAATGACATTCATATCGTTTTAATACAAATTTGACGATTTTGAAATCGTTCCAATTCAAATAATAACTATAACGACATAAATATCGTTTCTTTTCATATAAAATATTAATTATATCATTTTGACTAAAAATAACGATTCACAATCACTCAATACATCTTTAACATTCCTAAGACGGTCGAAAGAGGTCATCAAGTGAGTTGATGACATTCAAATGACTTAGAAATAACGACCGAAGATACTTGTTCCTATAAGAATATTTCGGATGTTGTATACAATCATGGGAATAGAAATGTTCCCATCGTTTCTTTTAAGTGAGATCAAATCCATTGTTGACCTATTTCAATCGTCCCATATATGTTGAATACATGTCGGGTGGTCGTGGATCGTCGAATCGTTGTTTTTAGCATAAACGATATACATAGCTTTTTATATAAACTTTAAAGATATATATGTTGTTTTATTTATGATTTAAACTGAAACGAATATCGATATTGTCCAAATTGTATTGAAACAATAATTATATCGTTATGTAGCAAATCACGAAATAACATAACGATGTCCATATTATTTTAGTACAAATTTGACGTGCTTGAAATCATTCAAATTCGAATAATAACTACAACAATATAGATATGATATGATATCAATATCATTACCACTCGAGAGCAAATGGTCCCGTGGAAGCGAGCGCAACGGTTCCCTATGTCGCGTGCACTATGTAAGTTTTTTATATAACGACATCCATGTCATATTATTAGTCTATAATAACTTCAATGCCATTATGAAAATCAATAAAGTGGCATATATTTATATGGAACAACATTAATTTCGTTTTGTGTTTCAGGAACGATTTCGATATTTTTATGTAAATTAGTGCAATTTTCGTATTGAAACGACATCAATATCTTTCTATATTTTAGGATCAATTTCAACGTCGTTATATGAATCTATGCTTTTTTCATATTGAAACGACATACGTGTCAACTATAACGATATAAAAGTCGTTTGTCTGTAATGTGAGAAAAATATAACAACGTAAAAAGACTTTAACTTTGTTCTAATAGTATAAAAGCGAGAATAGCACAATGATCCATTTTGTGCTTCCAATAAATATAAAATAATAAAATTACAAGTCACGACAATTGCACAACTTTAAGTTTCACTACTAGCTGTTTGACACTTACAAATGGAGCGAACATGACTAGTTTTCTTATAGTTGGAGCCTTAGACATTGTAGGGACAAAGTTGACATCTCCATTTGGTATAGCATTGTATCGACCTTCAACATCTCTCTAACTTTATACAAGCTTACGCAAGAAATTGTTTTTCAAACAAGAATGATCGATGTTTTCCCTTTACCATTCATTGCATTTTTCATTTTCAAGCGCTCTCAACTGACTCATATTCAGTTAGAAAACAAATTGAATCTATAACATATCCATGATGGCCATAATTACAATTAACATAAGAATCGTAATTTTTTTTTTTTATCAAATATCAAACTTCGTACATTATTGATAATGAGATGTATGTCGTTATGGTTTGTAGAAAACGATATGTAAGTCGTTCTGGACAGAAAAAATGAAATATATATTTTATAGTAGAACAACAAATAGAATGGCCAAACATGTGTTTACCAGCATTTTCATTTAAAAAATAAGAGCTAATAAGAAAATGGAAAAGCAATCCATATCAAATCTATAATAAAATAAAAATAAAAACCATTACTAACAAATAAACATCATAAACACGAATCACAACATGTGATTCAGAAAAATTAAAAAAGAAAGTAACCAAAATATTGAAATTTAACATTACATTCTCTTCTTCTTCAAATACCCATCAAGAATACTATAAGTTTTGATTACTTACTTCAATCAAATTTTATAGGTCACATATTATTTTTTGATCACGAATCAAAAATCTTATAGGTCACAGATTAATTTTTCGGTCACAACTCAATAAATCATAAGTCACAAACACAAATTTTATAGGTTACATATTATTTTTCGATCACGAATCAAAAATTTTATAGGTCACAAATTAATTTTTCGATCACAACTCAATAAATTATAAGTCACAAATACAAATTTTATAGGTCACATATTATTTTTCGATCACGAATAAAATTTTTTATAAGTCACGAAATCAAAATTGTTATTGGTCACATCTAATTTGTCGACCACAAATAAAAAATTTCTTAGGTCACAATTCATTGATTAGTCACAAAATCAAAATTTTAATTGGTCACAATTCATTTATCAGTCACAAATTATATCGAAATAATTGGTCACAATTAATTTTATGATCACAAATTAATAAATTACAAGTCACAAACCAATTTATTGGTCACAAATAACCAAATAATTGGTCACAAATACCCTGTCCCATCCCATCGACCCCCAATCACCACCTGCCACGACCACCTTCATCTCACCAGTATGCAAAACCACCAGCAACCACCCACACCACCCAACTGTAACAACGCTGACCACCATGATCGCCAGCTTCACCACCACCACCAATACCACCCAAATCCCCAACACCACCAAGACCACCACTACTCCAACAAACAAAAAAACACCACCACTACCATTACCCACACGACCGCACCACCACCACACTACTCCAACAACCAAAAAAACAACACCACCCACACTACCGCATCACCACCACCATTGCAGAATTGTATCCATCCAAGCCTAACAAATCAGAAAACACGCCTCTGCTCACTCAAACCTTGCCAGGCCAACACCACATACCTTAAACAAAACTGCCATCGATCACCCCAGTCCACCAATATTCTTCACCCCGTCGGTAGCTACTCAAGCACAGATCTATCCACCCTCGTCTTCATCAACAATCCCATAGTTCAACCAGTCAACAATCTTAAGATCTAGTCACCGAACCGTCACCCAGTGCCTGTGCCACCACCAGCACCACCGCAACCCACCACTGAATCGCCACCACCACTGCAACTTTCACAACACAATCAATCACCAACAAAAACACCCAAACTCTGGTAAAAGTACAAATCGAGAGAGAAATCATAGCTTGCTTTGTGCATCGCCTGCCGTCGATAGATAGATCGTTTCGATAGCGTCGTCTCTAGTAGAGAGAGAAAGGCGAGAATGTAGAGAGAGAGATAGAGGCGAGAATGTGTAGAGAGAGAAAGAGAGAGAGAGAATTAGGGTGAATGAAAGAATTAATTAATTGTGTAGGTAAATTAATTGGAATTTGAATTAATTAATTTTTACATATATTAATTAATAAAAAGAAATCTGATTTTTGAAAGAGTAAACTTTGTATATGATTTATGAAATGGAATCTTTAAATGTATTAGTTTATGTAATTTCCACAAAAAAAAGACCCAAGAGACACCAGGAAAAATCAGGCCCAAAATGACCAAAAGTACCGGGTCAGTAAAGAGCCCAAGAGAACCAAAAAGGAAACGAGCTGTACTATTTGCACAGCACCCAGTGCAGACATGGGGTGGACCCCACAATCAGAAATATCCAATTCTCTTTTATCTATCAGAACTCAAGCCTCCCACTCCTCGCTGCTCCCATCTCCATCGCCGTCTTCTCCGCTACTGCTACTAACTCCGCCGAGGCCGTATCTTTGGTACAATCCCTTCCCACTTTGAATTCGATGGCAGCTATTTAATTATAAATTTAAGTATATGACTTACTTTGTTATTTATTGTATTCTTCCGTAGTTCATGAAGTTGGATA